TTCATCTGCATTAAATCATGTGACAAACCACACGTGCATGGAATTCGAAACTTCTTTGTGGCGTCATTACGTCGCTTGCAGAATTCAATACCCGATATATCACCAAGCTTAGTAAAACAGAAGCCACAGGAAATCTCCGTCGTTGATCCGCCTGCAAAAAGCTTAAATAGATAAAACAGTTCTCCTTTTTTTTCCCTCTGCATCGCATTCACTTGTTTCCCTGTGTTACTGCAAGAAGCATATCCTGCATTGCTTTTGGTAGGGACATCACGTGAGAATAATCGAGTACATATGGCGTAAGGCGGTTCCGATTATATTAATTTAATATCATTACGACGAACGGAACAAAAAAAAGCTCTACATATTTGGTTTAATTAATTAATTATTTTCAATAAGCATGGTGTTTATTACTTATTAAGTCGGCATGTCAAACATTTCTTTCCTATTGATTTCCCTGCCTGGTTAAGGATGCTAAATCTTGAACCCCTGAAAAATCTGTGTCCGGGTTGCACGAGATGGCTCTTTAGACTTATCTTTTTTTTTTTTGCGGCAAATGAAAAATATAACTAATTCAGATAACAAGGAACTCGCGAGGGATGATGATATCAAACCTTTTAATTGGAGCGAGTGCTGATCTTACTCTTACCAACAGTAGCCCGATCTGATTAGTTGATCTTTGACATTATGATTATTGACAGATATTTACCAGTGCTAACGAAGAGTAGTTGTATATGAAGTAGGACATATAGCGCGTAACTAAAATGATGTTGAGATTGGTGTTTGGATTAATATTAGATTAGGATCGTTAATACACATACATTATGCAAGACTATTATTCTGATACGTCCATGCTAGTGTATGCCGTATGGGTAGTACAGCATCGCGCAAACAACAACAATCATCTTCATTACATGCAGAGTGAACGGCACAAGTGGGCGATACATTTGAACAGTTTTATTCGCTGAAACATATCTTATATATATGTGTTTGATATTATCATATGATGGGTAAAGCCAGCGGAGGGTGGGACATGTGATAAAAGACGGGAATGTAAAAGTGAGAAGAAATGAAGGGACACCTTTGTTGCCCCCCCCCCCTCCCCCTTTTACCCAGCGGAGATTAGTTAGTTAGTGCTGTACAGAATTTACTGGAATATATTACCAATTTGCTGTGTTACGATATGGCTATAATTGATTGATCGTCGATCGTAACAGTCTGTCAACTAGACTGATTTCAGTGGGTACTAATCAGAGAGGACCAATCAGGGAGAAAAAGGTTTATTCCCAAATTTAACAAGTGTTCGATACAGAAGTAGGACGGGGGGGAGAGTGCTATACACATGTGGAGAAGAATGCAACCACACAGTAAGTAATAAATATCGGCTAGCATGTCAATACGATAATTGATGTCTCTAGTATTTAATTATCGCAACCTGTAGGTTCGTCACATTACATTACACACCTGCACATATGATTCTCCTCTACATATACGCAACACAGCACAGATACATATGACCTCTTCTTTTCCTCACATATTCGACAATAGTGATTATTGCTTTTGAGAGACCAAAAGTCTGTAAACCTGTAAAAGACACACCAATCACTCGATTTCCAAAATGTAGCTTTTCAGCTGTGTGCATTTTGTGATAAATTACGCGGTAACATGTACATTAACACAGGGTAGTACGTTCTCATAGTAGATGATAATAAGTTTATACGATTGGGAGGGGGGAAGAGGTGGGGGGGTGATACGTGCGATGTGATGGATGGATGATGGATGAATGGAAGATGGATTGCTGGGTTTTATGAATGTTACGCTTGTATGCCGTTGTTTTTGTAAAAGCTGGGCTTTTTTCAATGCCCTCCTTTTCACACCCTATTTCCCATATATCTCCGACTGATTTAATACTAGCCCTAACCAACCCCACAACAACAAGCTAAACTACTACGCGCGCAACACAATCAACACAACCAACACAACCAACACAACCATATCTCAACAATAATAACAACAAGTAACGCTTCATAAGATTGGTAATTGTTTGTCCAATAGTACAATATGATGCAATATAATATGTATAAATCAGGCCATACTGTGACAGTGTATTGGCATGTATTAGTATAATTGTTTTAAATTACCTTTGTTTAGTTGACTTTTTATACGTTGCCTTACTGTTACTAGTCTATCAGTGTGTTTATTTATACATCTTATCATATCATATGCTTCTCCATAGTATATATTATGTGCCCATTTCTATTTGCTGTTTGCTATTCGCTATTTGCTGACCTAACCTCTGCTGTATCCAATCATCACGAAAACAATCCTGCCCTTCCCTCTCCATTATCCATCAAACACACCCCAAACAGTGTTGTCCATTGGGCGCTGTTTGACCCAGACGAGTAAACGATGCGCGTATCACAAAAGAAATTTAAAGACTCCCTGCCCTCCCTCCCACTCTTCTCTTCACCCTTTCATCCTTGCTTTTCTCCTCGTCATCTATCTCAACCCACTCTATAGACCCAAACTCAACAACCTCCAAATACTTTTTTTTTTTGTTCAAGAGTAAGTTGTCCTTCCAATATATCACATCTCATTTAAAAAAAAAATTTATCTCATGCGTATATATTATTCACCCAATCAGTTCCATTACACCCCTCTTCCCACTTTCTCATCTCCAGAATATTCCTTTCCCCCCGTAACTCATTCATATCTTTAATACAGTGGTCATGAGAGAAATCGTACATCTGCAAACTGGCCAGTGTGGCAACCAGATCGGTGCTAAATTCTGGGAAGTCATCTCCGACGAACACGGTATCGACTACTCGGGTTCTTATACAGGCGACTCAGACCTCCAACTCGAACGTATAAACGTATACTACAACGAAGCTGCCGGTGGCAAATATGTTCCCCGCGCCGTTCTTGTCGACTTGGAACCTGGTACCATGGATTCCGTCCGTGCTGGTCCCTTTGGTCAACTGTTCCGTCCAGATAACTTTGTATTCGGTCAGAGTGGTGCTGGTAACAACTGGGCCAAAGGTCACTACACAGAGGGTGCTGAATTGGTAGACTCTGTATTGGATGTCGTTAGAAAAGAAGCCGAAGGTTGTGATTGTTTGCAAGGTTTTCAAATCACTCACTCCCTCGGTGGTGGTACTGGTGCTGGTATGGGTACTCTCCTCATCTCAAAGATTAGAGAGGAATACCCTGACCGCATGATGTGTACCTTCTCCGTCGTACCTTCTCCAAAGGTAAAACTCATAATAAATGACGCGTTAAACGGTTTCAAACGCGTCTTGCATACCTGCACTTTACGCGTCGTGGTTGACATTCAGCTCCTTACACGTTAACCGTCTTTCGTATTGCACGTTTAATGTCAACTTGTTTGTACGTTTATCTAACGGTTTTCTAACGGCTTTCTCATATTCGTTAATAAATCCAGGTTTCAGATACCGTCGTAGAACCATACAATGCCACGCTCTCTGTTCATCAGCTTGTTGAAAACTCTGACGAAACATTCTGCATTGACAACGAGGCCTTGTACGATATCTGTTTCCGTACATTGAAACTCAGTACCCCTACTTACGGTGACTTGAATCATCTTGTATCTGCTGTGATGAGTGGTATTACGACATGTTTACGATTCCCTGGTCAATTGAATGCCGACTTGAGGAAATTGGCTGTGAATATGGGTAAGTTTGGTTTGATAGTTTCGATGTTCTCAAAATTTTCGCAATGGCAGGTCAACCGTCTTACCATTGTTGTTTTTTTATCTAGTACCTTTCCCACGTCTTCACTTCTTCATGGTTGGTTTTGCTCCATTGACCTCTCGAGGATCAACAGCTTACCGGGCCCTGAGTGTTCCTGAGTTGACACAACAAATGTTCGATGCCAAGAACATGATGGCTGCTTCTGATCCTCGTCATGGTCGTTATCTCACCGTCGCGGCCATGTTCCGTGGTCGCTGCTCCATGAAGGAGGTCGATGATCAAATGCTTGCTGTACAGACCAAGAACAGCTCATACTTTGTCGAATGGATTCCAAACAACGTCAAGAGTAAGTAATTTACAAGTATTCTAACGAAAATGTTATATACTTGACTTTGACTAACGTTCATCAATCTTTATCGAATAATTTAGCCGCCGTGTGTGATATTCCACCAAGAGGTCTCAAGATGTCGGTTACATTCATTGGAAACTCAACTTCCATCCAAGAGTTGTTCAAACGCATTAGTGACCAATTCACGGCTATGTTCCGACGTAAGGCTTTCTTGCATTGGTACACAGGAGAGGGTATGGATGAAATGGAATTCACTGAAGCAGAGTCCAACATGAACGATTTAGTATCAGAGTAAGTGTTATTCAACGGATTATATAGCAAATGATGTCAAAAATATTACTTTTAATTGTAATGCTCATTCATTTGCTTTTGTTCTACAGATATCAACAGTACCAAGAAGCTACTGCTGAGGAAGATGACGGAGATGAATACGAAGAAGATATCGATCAGGAAGAGGCTTAAGTTATATACATATATATGTACTACCTCATATATTCTTTATACATACTATACCAATTTAATACATTCGCTTCATCTCCAATCACTTATAATACTCTTTTTACAAAAGAAAAAAAAATCTAAGACATCTTTAAAAATAGCTGTTCAAAGCTGCATGCGTCCTTTTTGTTTAGTTTTTTATCTCATTTACTTTGTACTCTAGTTGGAGTGAAAGACAATAAACTTTTTACAACGTCAGGGAATATTTCGAACTGGTAAATGCAATGCATGTATCGTGCGCGTGACGCAGTTGATCGAATGAATATGCGCTGTCTTGGATAAACGTAAGCAAAACATTGATAAAGTCTAATGTCTGTATTATGATAATGATTATCAAGAACCTTTATTATGTCGTACGTTCATGCGATGCGAATAACTTTAAAAATTATTGACAGGTCTAAAATGTACAAAATACCCATGACCAAAGAAGAAAAAAAAAGTCCAACTCACAGCCGACTCTCTATCACAACATTCTCTGTCCTCCAGTCATCAAACGCAGCTTCTAATACATCCCAAACCTTCTTCACGTATACTACTTTGATCTCTTCTTTAATATTCACCGGAACATCTCCCTCAACATCTTTCATATTCCTCAAAGGCAGAATAACCCGCGTAATACCAGCCCTATGCGCAGCGATAATCTTTTCTTTGATTCCTCCTACCGGAAGGACTTGTCCACGGAGAGTGATTTCTCCTGTCATAGCAGTGGTTGTGGGCACTGTCCTCTTTGTAAAGAGGGAAACCAGTGCAGTGAGAAGAGCAATGCCGGCAGATGGGCCATCTTTAGGAACTGCGCCCGATGGGAAGTGGATATGAATATCGCGTTCCGAAAAAAAGGAAAACTCGGTTGAAGCAGATATGATCCCCAATTTATAAGCATTAGCGCGGACCCAAGATAGTGCTATTTGGGCAGATTCTTTAATTACTTCACCCAATTTACCTGGTAAACGTAAAGGAAAAGGCACATCCCACTATGTTAGAGGACAGAATTTTTAAAGACACAAGTAACACACATACTAGCTAGATTACCTGTAAGCTGGAGGTTACCCTTTCCAGCCATCTGCGTGGCTTCTATAAACAGAATACCGCCAGCCCCGGATGCTGTCCAAGCAAGTCCAGTTACAACACCAGGTAGTGACGTCCGTTCAGCCACTTCGTCATCATATTTTGCTACCTATTGAATGGATGTGTGGTTTGTTGGTATAAATTACTAGGTTTTCATCAACATTGTCACCCATATTTAGTGCAACATGTATTACTTTCAGTCTCTTAACCGTTCCCAATCAACTTACTCCAAGAATCTCTTCTATATCTTTCTTGGAAACTTCTGCCCGGTAAGCTGCTAACTCTCCATTATCCCTTGCATCAGCATATTCAACGGCCTTTGCCCTACAAATACTAGCAACCTCTCTCTCAAAGTTTCTCACTCCCGCCTCCCTAGTATAGCCTGTGGCAATGGCAAATAATAGTTCATTCGAGATTTTAACGTCTTCTGGTGCCATCCCATGCGCTTTTATCTGTTTTGGAAGCAAATGTCTCTGAGCAATGTTCACTTTTTCGTCGAATGTGTATCCGGATAATGAGATAAGTTCCATACGATCCAGTAGTGGTGGTGAGATCGAGTCGAGATGGTTGGCCGTGGCAATGAAAAGAACTTTGGAGAGATCGAGTGGAACGTTGAGATAATGATCGTTGAAGCTGTTGTTTTGCTCTGGATCGAGGACCTCAAGAAGCGCAGCTGAGGGGTCACCATGATGGCTTAAATGACCAACTTTGTCGATTTCGTCTGAGAGAAAGAGAAAAAAAAGATAAATTGTTTGACAGTAATAACCCGCGACTGAAACTACTTATTTAAAGCAATTGCATCTAATACATACCCAATAAAAACACTGGATTATTAACACCGACCCTTTTTAATCCTTGTGCAATCAATCCTGGCATGGCTCCGATATAAGTCCGTCTGTGCCCTCTAATTTCTGCTTCATCTCTTACTCCACCCAAAGAAATTCTGTGAAACTTTCTCCCAAGTGCGTTTGCAATGCTTTTCCCCAAAGACGTCTTCCCCACACCCGGAGCACCCACCAGGACCAATATCGGTCCCTTCATGTCATCTTTTAGCTTTAGCACTGCCAAGTATTCCAAGACGCGTTTTTTTACTGTTTCCAAGCCATAATGGTCATCATTTAGTTGCTTTTCGGCAATTTTAATATCGAGAATATCTGTGGTTGACTTGTTCCATGGGATTTCACTCAACCATTCCAGGTATGCTCGAACTACCTGGTATTCGGCTTGAGTTGGATGCATACGTTTCAAACGTTTGAGCTCACGCTGTGCTGCTTTATCGGCTGTGTGTAATGAGCAAAATGAGTAAGTCGAGTAGATAAAATATAAATTGGGGGGGAGGGGTGTGTCTTACCTTCGGGAGAGAGACTTGCTTCCTTTAGTCGTTTTGTCAGGTCAACTACATCGTCCTCCTCGTTCGACGGGTCATCTTTCTCACCAAGCTCCTCTTTGATTGCATCAAGCTGTTGATTGATTAAAGTCGATTGAATTTATTTCGTGAGCGCTCTGTTCACGTGTTGGATTTCAAAAGTATAGAATGTCACCTACTTGTTGCCTCAAATAGAATTCCCTCTGTTTCTTACTAAGTTGTCCTTCGACAGTAGAATGAACCTTTTGCGATATTTTCAAAATCTTTAAGAAAGACCGATTATGGTATTGGGATTAGCATAGAGATGAACAATGCAATAATGTTATTTTCAATACTCATTGACAGTAAATTGATGAAATAAATCCATACACCGTTTTATCGAATATAAAGTTGTTCCTTAAATTGTACTTTCGGATCGCTTTGCAATAATGTTTGAGGCAAATACAGGTTTATACCCGCATTTCACGTACCTGTATTTGTCTCGTTAACATGTCAATTGCTCGCAACATTCGCGTCTTTAAATCAACAGCATCAAGAATCTGTAACTTTTCCTTGAATGTAGAATTAATGGCCGTGACTAGCGAATCGGCTAATGAACCTACAGACGCATTCTCTATGAATTTCTGGAGCTGAGTTAGAAAGGGTGTTGGAAGTCTCAGATCATGAAAAGTAGACAGAAGTTTGCGGCCGGTAGATTTTAGAGTTATGGCCAGTTCCTGGAGTTCTTGATCGTCTTGCGAAAGTTCTATGAACGATCAAAATACAATTAGGACTCGGGAATAGAGAAACCACCTATAATTGTTCTAATGGGACGTACGGCTAAAATTTACCTGGTTCGGGAATTACAGTGACTTCTGCTTCCAAGTAAGGGCTTTCAGACACATACTTATCTACCTTGATCCGTGCAATACCTAGAATGAAAATACACGGTGTTCAATTCCTCATTCTCCATTTAATAGTTGGCATACCCCAACACTCTCAACCTATACGTACCTTCCACAACAGCCACAAACCCCTCGCCCACAGTCCTCTCAAGCCTAACAATTCGCACCGCACAACCGAAAGGATGCAAATCTTCTGGTCGTGTTTTCTGGCTGAACACTGCGTCTATTACTTTTTCCGGTGGATTCAAATTCTTGGAACGAATTGGAGGAGCTATTATGTCAGCTTTCGACTGGTTCTTTTCAGTATCGTCTTCGATCGTACTTTGCGGTGGATTAATGGGAACGCATCCAACATATTCAATCTCTTGGCTATCCAGTGATTTGTATATTTTTCGCATTAAAGAGACTGTCTCTTTCCTCCCTATTACTAAGCGCCTGACTACGCCAGGGAATATCACCTTATTTTTAAGTGGGACAATGGGGAGAACATTAGGGATCGCAGGAACATTGACTATCATGGTTGAGCTCTGGTTCGCGAAGATGGAGAGATGTGATCAATTTAGACTATCAATAAATCACATGACAAAGTCATCAAAACTCCCCTGCCCATTGTAATCGGTTTACGAACGGACTATATTAGTAAATGAATTCTTATTACTTCTTTTGCTCAATTAAACCTATGTATAAAATGACGAGAATTTCCCAAAAAAATTCACGTAATGATACACTCTAGAATGGAGAATTGGTAATAGAGCAAATGTCATTCTGGATAGAGTTAGTCGATAATTAATAATTACGCGTTGTAAAAGAAAGTTGTTTTAGGGTAAGATTAGCACGTTTTCACTGTGATAAGGTGCATGAGCAGAAGACGCAATAGATTAATCACTTTTTTTTCCAAAGGAAGAAACATATCAAGCAAGCATACTATATATTTTAACATCTACTCATGTATAATTACTAATAGAAAGCACGGAACTTAAAGCAATAATACACCCTATTGTGTCGAGACACTCGTCGTTTATCTAAGTTTAAAGACACTACTATGCAGATACTATGCAATTATTCAAGTCTTGCGAAGACATTGATTTACATTGCTTATAGAGGATTGGCTTCCTTTAATTGATCCAACTGTTTCATATAAACCGCCTTTTCGGCAAGATATCTCTCTCTCTCTTCTGCGTGCTTGTCCGTATATGTCTTGATATAAAAAGTAAAATTAGTCAGGGCCACAAACCACAGAATACAATGTAGCTGCTTACCTTCTTTTCATCATCATTCATTAATTTCCACTTCTTACTGATAGCCGACATTCGTTGGGTGATACTTGGCTCTATAGCAAATTCGGGTTGTTTCATCATATCTACCGCAAAGTGCAAAAATCCTGTACGTGGTCTCTTTGGTAGATTCGGATCTTTCATAGGTTTCTTCTTCTTTGCTCGTCGTCGCTCATTTTCACGCGCATAATCCAGCGGAGTCAAAGAGTCTAAGAATTTTTGCTGCTCCTTTTCGAAATCGGCCTTTGCTTTTACGGATTTGTCTTGATAAACCTATTAGTAAAGCCGAGAAATAAATACAATGTAAACAATGCAAATACACAAAATCTTGATATTACCAATTTCTCGTTTTCAGAAAGATCCTTCCACTTATTAGCAGCAAGTTTACAGATTTCTGTCACTTTCATTTCAGGATTCTTTCCCCGTTCCTCTTGAAAGACATCTTTCAGAAACAAGCTGAATGAATTTCCTGGTTTCTTAGGTCCCTTCAAGGGCGCAACTTTAATTTTAGGGGCTTCTGGCTTTTTCTTGACGGGTTTCTTGACAAGTTTCTTGACGGGCTTCGCTGCAAGCTTTTTGGTTGGTTTTTGAGTTGACTTCTTGGCCGGTTTTGTAGATAATTTCTTTGCAGCAGTCGCTTGTCGGCTCAGCGGCCTTCCACCTGGAAATCAATCGTACTTGTAAAATTAGAACACAAATATTTCGAAGACAAGGCATTAGGCCTTCCACAAGAATACGAAATCAATGCCAAAATTTGTAACTGCACATACAAAATTTGCACGTAGTATATACGTCTACAGTCCGACAGATCAGTATACTTACTCTTACTAACAAGTTTAGCTCCGGGCTTCTTCGTTACTTTAGGCTTTGCTTTTAATGGTTTTGTCTTAGTGGCGACAGCAAGCAGTTGTGGAGTGCTGCTGAAAGATCGAACAGAGGTAGTTGACCATGCGGTTGGACGCGCAGCAAAGAGCGTCCTTGGGAGAAGTCGAAACATGTTCTGCAGTATGGTAGGCAACGGCACGACAACAGTCGAACGATAACGAATGAATTTTATTTGTGAAGTGCCGTCGGTAGAGATAAGAACGCGTTTGCAGTAAACACTCACGGAAAGTGACTGTGCGAAAGTATGAGGATTGATAGATGACTATTTACATTTTAACTGTAATGTTCCTGATGACGCGGACAACGCGATCAAATAACCCACGTTCACATGACTATTTAACCCTATTTGTTGATTTACATTACGTAACTTGGCATCATATTATCATTTGCTATGTAAATTTTGGATGGATTGTAGTAGGCATTCCTACTATTTCTCCGGAGAGAATCAAGGCTCCATCAAGCAATGCCCGGAGGAAGATTCCCCGAGCGCCATTTTCATCTCGATCCACAATTTCGGCATCGTTACAATATTTTGTCATTTAAACGTTATTACGCATGTTCTGCAGTTTGTCGAGTATATGTCGCTTACGTACAGGTCAGCAGTAACTATGCATGCATTTCAATGGTTGTTTTTTATTACTTTTAATAGGTTGATTATTTTCGTTTATTCACATTCACAGGGCAAATGCATTAGATTCGATTGTCTTTAGCAAACCAGCTTGTCCTTTATGGAAAGAAGATTGTCCATATGCTTGCATAGGCAAATAATTTGTCCAATATCGTATTGGCCAATTTTACTTACACCTTTAGTATTTTCCTTTTGTGTTATACAAAAGTTCATAGTCTTTCATCACAAACATAATGTCAGGTCGTCTTCCCACTTTCTTATTCCTCGCTAGCGTTCGCTGCTGCTGATATATGTGGAACCAATAAAGACATATCTTTCAACGCTGCCTGAATCGTTGGCAGTATAATATTTCCGTCGTCCCCGAAAGTCGCGCGACTAAATCCAACGAATTAAATTATCGACTGCATTATATCCATTATATCCGAGGATCGTCAATAGTTTCCAGTGGTGACACGACTTGGGTTTGGGATTGCAGGTAATTGGCGATAACTTTTTAATGTTAAATTTAGCATTCATATTCAAGACATTTGATATAAATCCCATCTTAAATAGCTCAGTATTTCTATCCTTCACTTCGGTAGCACTCTTGAATGTAGTAATCGGAATACAGTTTGTTCAATTCTTCGGATGTGTACTCGTCCACTGTGAGCTCTGGAAAGTCACACTCATTCTTCACTGACTTACGAACGCCAGGGTCGATGGAACAGAGTTGTTTTTGCGTCTCGTAAACCATGAAAATTTTCATTCATTGGTTTTGCGAATATACGTAAGCTTTTACAATCGGACGTTATTCTGTGAGGAACAGGCCACTTATTACTCCTTCCAGGTTTCCCGAGCACAGTACGAATCACAGCGGCTGCCCACAACAGTCATTTTTATACGATTTCATTGAAGAGATGACTGTGCTTGCTGTGGTATGAGATTGCAGTGGTATTATTGCGCCTTTTTTTTTTTCGAAATTAAGCGGCCACAAATCGCGTTTTTCGTCCAGAGTATAATAACAGAAGTGGATTTTGAAACGTTTGTCGCAAATCTTTTCGGGATCGAAATGACAAAGACGAACTTCGTGGTTGATCCTATATTTTGATTGATTATCTTGTCCCTAGCAGTTAATGCTTCATCAATCGCCTCATCAATAATGTTTGCAGGCGCTTTGCCATGTGTGCCTTGAAGCAGCATCCAATATGCACAACAGTTTGCACGAATTTGTGTTCATCCCATATGCATGTCTCTTGTCCTCACGCTCATCAAACGTCTTTACTTTGCCTACACAAACATTTGTGTAAAGCTCAAGCTTATCTTCGATGTTATCGTATCATAAAAAGGTGGACTTTCAAGATGTTTCCCATTTTTCTGTAATATTAATAGCTTTTGGCCGTTTTATCCTATCGACTTCTAATAAAGTGTGCGTATGGTTGCGGCAGAGTTGGTCACAACGGGTAACCACAATTTAATATTAAATTTCCGAGACCATGTCGCGATTTTTCCGTTCCAATAAGGTCTTAAGTTCGTAGGTTGGGTAGCTGACGAGTTATGGGAGCTGACGTTGTTCATAGGTTGGGGAGCTGACGAGTTGTTCGTCTTCTTTGGCGGTGGTGGCGGCGGTGGTAGTGATGTTAAGCATTGAGGGGAGAGATGATTTTGATTTTCAAATGAGCAAAATATTGCAATGGTTAAAGATAATGTCTTTAAATATGTTTATGGGTATCAGTATTTGCAATCTTACATAGAGCTTACGCGCATAAAAGCATGCAATCTCATATGGAGCCTACGCGCATAAATTACATGGCCAATGGCATCTGTCGATAAGTCGGTCTCACATATTTGTTGTACCCATGGTCTCCAACGCGATATACAGTGTGTTACGAAAAAAATGGCCCTCACAAAAAATCGCATAACTTAGCAATGACACAAGATAATTAAAAGCAAACAGTCTTGTTAGATAGCGTATTAGATACTTACTTGATATAAAAAATTTTAATACATAATCTTATCATCATTTCCTCGTTATACTTGCTTGTATCAGTTTTTCGTTGCACACAAAATTTCATTATCTATTTTCCGAAATTTTCTGAGAAATATCCTCCTATTCCCAATTAATAATGCAGATGCAAATTTCACTGTAAATGCTTTA